GTTTAGTGACTTTGCATTCTGGCAAAGGCACAACAAAGAAACCAAACAGGTTCCCTTGACCTTTCAGTCTCTATACCTATTTCTTAGATCTTTACTTTACCCTTTTTATTTCTAATATAGAAAGATACTGTATTTATTGTTACAAGTGAACTTAGGTCAAAGTGTACAGGGGATCAAGAAATGTTATTCTTGTATAACCTGTGCACTTTGACTTTACCACCTTAAATTACTAACCCTGTATAAAATACTGCTGTAAATGGCAGCTCACGGAATAAAGTTGTAGAATGATTTGTTTCAGTCTTGTATCGGAGCTTCCATTGAACAGTGGTGTTTTAGTCTTTCAACAAGTCCTCGTAGCTGTTGGTGCTGGGATTAATTAATTTGATTTTGTATTGCTCTCAAGGCCAGAGCTAATGGTCTGCAGTCCTGTGTGATTATCATACGTATTCTTCGTGACCTCTGTCAGCGGGTTCCAACTTGGTCTGATTTTCCAAGCTGGGTGAGTAATGTTGTCTTGAAAGAGTCTTTTTAACACACATGGTGCTGCAAGTAAAGCACAGGGAAGTGTAACTACGGTTTTGAAACGTACACTATTTCAAGAAGTAATGGAGGGTTTTGTTTGGATTTTTTTTTAATTATTATTCCTCCCTCCCCCCCATCAAATTATTCAGATTCCCTCAAGAAATCTGATTTTCTGAGATTTTGCCATTGGGAGCTGGAATTGCTTTGGTTTCCTAAAAGGAATTTCCTTGTTCTTTTGTGTTCTTTGTGGGTAGCATTCTTACTCTAGATTGTATCATTTTTTTCCTTTACTGTGCGTAAAAGGATTAATTTTTTCTAACCACCTACTCTGAATTGCTTGGAGGTTACTTAAACTTATTTAGAATGATGTCAGCTGTGCCCAGATAGTTCTGTGATAACAAAGACTAGATCACAGTAATGCCTGTGATCATTGACTTGTCCCTCCCACAAGATGAAGTACAGCAGTACTTCAGTATAGTGTGGATGTGTCACCAGTGGGGTTGTAGTCAGTGCCACTTAGATCTCCGGTCTGTAGTGGATTACCTTGCAATTCTTGCAGCTGAGTGTTCTTGGAGCATTCCTTTCACGTTGGCTGTTTTAGGTGATGCTCTCCAGGAGTGCAGCTTGTGCTCCAGATACTAACAGATGCGCAGTCTGTGGACCAGTCAAAGTTAGTCTGAAACAACATCTCTGAATCGCGTACAGTGTGGAAGTAAACTTCCTCTGACTGTTACGTTTCATGGATGAAATCCTGTTGCACTGTGCTACTTCCTTTTCGGTTTTGGCAGGAGGAGCACTAGCATTGTCAGGAGAGTTTGATCAGTTGGCATTATTTCAATGAGAAATTATTTTCTCATTAAATTACTTCTGATAATATTTATTGCTTCCAGAAAAAAATGTGGAGCAGTGATTTCTGTTTTTTAAATATTTAAAGTAAAAAAAAAACCCAGAACGATAGTGCCAGTTCTTGCGCTGCATTTCATGAAAGATACACTGTACAAATGCAGCTTAAAAGAGGCCAAGTGCTCACTTAGTATCACTGTGATGCTGAGTTCCCAAAGAATAAACCCTGGCACACTTAGAAGCATCCTCAGAACTACAGCAACGCACAGCAGGCACATAGATGAAGAGCAAGGAATGTTGTTTCTTATTTCTCACATCATCTGTTCTGCACCCCATCCAGAAGGGAAGAGAGGTGTGAAACTGTCAAGCCAAGCTGTGTCTCAGTTCTCTCCAAAAGTGATCCCTGATTTGCTCCTGGTAGCTGATGTGTTGTCAGTGACGTGGATCAGCATTGAAGTCTGTGTAGTCAGCTGTTCTTTTGGCCTGTTGGCAAAGCCTTACTCATAAGAACGATGACAGAATGAAAACAGTCGTTTTAAATACGTGTAATTTTTGCCAGTCACAGGTGGAATTTCATAGATTGGAGAAACATCTTTTTCTGGATACAGAATTTCTCCTAGCCTGCATGGTAGAATTCTGCTGTGAACCGAAGGGATGCCAGAGCTTCACAAAAAGAACCTAAATAGTTGTAAAAATATAAGATATTGGGAAGTCTAAATATGGACATTAGTAGCACTCTCTTTATATACCTAAAAATAAAAACTAACTTGGGAGAATTTTGTCAAGTCACTGCGAGTTAGAAGGAACTATTATTCAAGGCTGATTTTTCAAACTTGATATCCAGTCTTTTGGGCACACAAACACCAGAGCATCATAATTCACATTTTCCCAGGATTCAGTTGCAGACTGTAGTGTATTGTATGAGGATCCAGAAGAACTAGACTTGAATAAGTACAAACCCATTATAGGCTATTTTTTTCTTCTGCTGTATTTTGCTTCATACTTGAAAACAACTAAATAACCGTTGCTAAATCCTTAGTGGGAGTGTGGAAACACCATGCTCAAGAATTGAAATTTGTCAGTTAAGTGGAGCTGAGACAGAAAGGAATGGGATTGTAACCAACACTGCCTGCAGTTAATTGCGTGCATCAGAATAGGCATTTACTCCTGGAAAGTGAAAACAAAACCCAACATTTTAACAACTGTAAACTCGGTGGGGAGGAGGAGGACCAAAAAACAAACCCCCTAAGTATATCCACCAAAAACCAAGCGAGACTGTTTAAGAACGAGTAAGTTTGGTTTAAGAATTAAACTTTCCAAAGGTGTAGTATTGAAATATCCATTTAATGCTGAAAAAAATCTGAGGAAAGCTATTTTTTAATTTTGCAAATTCTTTTATAGGTGTTTCTAGAAGCATTAGAGTCTAATAAAAAACAAACCAAAGGGATGCCAGAGCTTTTCAAAAAGAACCTAAGTAGTTGTAAAAATAGAAGATATTAGGAAGTCAAAGTATGGACATTCGTAGCAGCCTCTTTATATACCCAAAAATAAAAACCAAATTAGGACAATTTTGTCAAGCTACTACAAGTTAGAAGAAACTATTACTAAAGGTTGATTTTTCCATTGCTGTGACGGAGCGTGTCCAGGGAAGGGCAGCAGAGCTGGGGAAGAGTCTGGAGCACAAGTCCTGTGAGGGGGGGCTGAGGGAGCTGGGGGTGTTCAGCCTGGAGAAGGGGAGGCTCAGGGAGACCTGATCGCTCTCTGCAACTGCCTGAAAGGAGGGCGCAGAGAAGTGGGGTTGGTCTCTTCTCTCAGGTGACAAGTGATAGGACAAGAGGAAATGGACATGGTTTAGTGGTGGACTTGGCAGTGTTCGGTTAATGGTTGGACTTGGTGATCTTAAAGGTCTTTTCTGATCTCCACAATTCTGGAAAGGAAATATTCACAGAAAAATCTATTTAAAATACAGCTAATAATTTTAACCATTTAAATAATGGATATGTTTCAGAAAACCTGCTTATCATAAAGATTTTTTTACAAGTGTAACATCTGGGTTAGTGTTTGTCTGTATCCAAGTGAAAACTTGGTGTAAACGGAGGAACTACTAAGCACTTAAACATTAAATGATCATTAAATTTTTGGTACTTTTAAGTTTCTGTACTGTTGCAGAAAAAAATCGTTTTTCTGTAGCATCCTGTTAATTTCATCAGAGATACTGTGTGCTGTTTGTTCACATGGCTGACAGATTCAGGCGACCCACCACGTTTCATACTCTCTCAAAATATGGCTGGACAATTTGTCTGCCTATGTAGGCCACTGCTGTATAAATTTGTACAAAACTTGTGAACAACTTGTGATGTGAAGCAGTGTATCAGTATCAGCACTCAGTGTTAATCTTGCACCAGCTTTCTTCGTATTCATCTTCGTTAAATATCTGATTTTTTTGTTTCCATTTTAACTGGAGGTGTTCTGTGACATGTAATGTTCTTCAGAATTCCGGATTCAAAAGTTCTGTATTGAAGAACAATAGCAGGTTTTTTTCTGGTTTAATCCATCTTCTGAATTGGATGTATTTTCTTGTTGGTCTAGGCTATGGAGCTGCTTGTGGAAAAAGCAATTAGCAGCGCTACTGGACCGCAGAGTCCTGGGGATGCACTGAGAAGAGTTTTTGAGTGTATATCTTCAGGAATTATCCTTAAAGGCAAGTTGCACCTGATGAGTGTCTGTATACTTATCCTTAACTAACGTAAAATCTGTAATCTTGGTTGAAATACAGCAGAGATGTGCTACTAATTAGCCAAACCATTGTAGGTGGTCCTGGCCTTCTGGACCCTTGTGAAAAAGATCCTTTTGATACACTTGCTGTAATGACAGATCAGCAACGAGAGGATATTACTTCCAGTGCCCAGGTAAGGAAGCGTACGCCTGAAGTGACTGAATTTGATGGCTGGATTTGGCGGTGGTGTTTGGTTTGGTTTGCGTTGGGGTAAGTTTTTTGGGGGTGTTTTGATGGAGCTGTATGGTGGACATGAATTTTCCTTTCTTAGAATATAGTTCAGTCTTTCAGATGATCACTCTTAAGCTAAGCAAAAAAAAATGTGTACCATGGAGGATGCATAATAGTGTTGATTTGGCACTGAAATGAACAGATTTTGCTAAAAAGTTTGAAGCACTCCCATCTATCAGTATCTGTAGAGATGTTCACTCTACAGCAGTATGTTACTAGATTTAAAATTACGTTGGCATTTAATATTTTATGAAAAATACATGTAAGTTGGATTTTTAATATTTATTGTAGCCACTTACAATACTGATCATTCAAACTTGCAGCTTAAGAGGTTGCTGCCCCTACCTCTTCATTTGATCCTTTTGCTAAGGATTGCTAGTGCGTAAAAGGGGACATGTGACAGGCCTTGGCTGCCTCAGGGCAAGTCCAGCAGCTAAAACATACGTACATTATTTTTAAGCTAGGATGATGTACTTTGTACAGAAGCATCAAATGTGATACATGCATTTGATTGTGTTGACTTTGTTGGGCGAAGGAATAGGATAATGAGAGCTAAGGATAGCATCGTACACGGCTCGTCATCTTCATTAGTTGTTTGACAAAGTACTCAAAATTGACATTTATTTCTAACAGAAATATCTTTTTTCCTACCCTTTTTCTAGTTTGCACTGAGACTCCTTGCATTCCGTCAAATACACAAAGTTTTAGGAATGGATCCGTTACCACAGATGAATCAGCGCTTCAACATCCATAATAATCGTAAAAGGAGAAGAGACAGTGATGGGGTTGATGGATTTGAAGCAGAGGGGAAAAAAGACAAAAAAGATTATGATAACTTTTAAAAGTGTTTGTCATCAGTGCTAGGATAAAGGGTGATAAAAAGTCCATTTGTTGCCTTCCTTTTACTTCATTCATAATAATGTCTGTTTAAAAGTCCGAAAAACAACATAGGAATTAGATCTGGAAGAGAGCAACCTAGCTGTTCTGTGAGGTTCTGGATGTTTTAGTGGATGGACAGACAAATTATGGGTGGAAAGACTGCAAATGGAAACTCTGTTGTCACAGGAAAAATTAGTTTTCCCTCATTGCATTTTCTTTAAATGTGTTGCGAACTTCAGTAGCTTTTATTCTTTTTTTTCCTTTGTCTTTTTTATTAACAAGTGTGTTGTCTTCTTCTCTTGACTGTATTTAATGCAGCATTTGTGCTTCTGTTGCTATGTGTATTTTGACTTTTTATTTAGAAGGTTTTTTGTTTGCCTTTGACACTAGCTGTATAAGTTACTTTGTGTTAGATAGCATAAATTGTTCCCCTCCCAATTAGTATTTTGCAGAACTTTTTTCTGTAAAGTGAGGCTGCAGGATTATGTTCTTTCCTAAATGTGAAGGGGTTACAACACATAATTATCCTGCCATTTGAGTGCTCAGAATTAAATGTTTTTGCCAATCTTGTGGCATTTGTCTCCTTAGTGTGATATAACAGTGTAACTAAGACAAATTTGTGTTAATCTAATCAAGTTTGCTGTTAGTTGTGCATTAGCGGTATAAAAGCTAATATATACAGTATGGTCTTGCAACAGTTTTAAAGCAGCTGCATAACTGATCAAAATTTTGCATGATGTTTCTGTTTATAATAGAAGGGCTTTCAAATCTATCATTTTAGGTTAAATGCGTAGGTCTTTGTACGATTGACTTTGTGACATAGCAAGGCCAAAAAATAACTTTCTGAACTTCTTTTCCCAACATACAACCAAAAGCAGGCATTTCCCCTTTAGACAAAGTTAGTTATTCTTTTCAGTCAACTTTGTCAATATGATACTAATGCCTCTCAGCCCTTAAAATAACTGTTTGTCATATCAGTGCCTGTGAGGTTATTCCTTATATCTATTCCTGTATAAACTTTCTGTGATTTTTTCAATAATTCAAATTTTAAAAGTGAAGTATTACAGAATAAGTGAAGGTTATAAAAGAAAAAAAACCCAGAAAATTATTTGATGTGGCCATAGTGTATGCTTCTGTCTCTTTCAAAAAGCTGAACATAGCAATGGTGTAAGTACAGTTACATCATACTGTTGGTGTATGCTCTGGTACACAGGTGTGATTCGTTGTCACAGCACTACAGTGGAATACGCAAATCTAAAATTTATTAAATCACTAAAGTTCATTGTACACTGGAAACTGAAGTTTCACTCATTCTGTTCAATGCGTGTTACACTTTGTTTCGAATCCACAGACCATGAACTAACATGGACTAACATTCCGGTGACTACTTCCTTGTTGGCTGTAGAAGAGTATCACACGTTACAAAGATAATTTCTTATTTCTGGTACCATTTATTAAAAAAAATCCTTCTGTTCCACTTTGAGGTCGAATTTATCTTTGACCTTTTTAGTAAGTAACTCTTGGAGTATGGGGATATTTCTGTTTGCAACACTTAATGCTAACGGCGTGGGCCGGTGGAATAAAAATACAATATTTTAGAAGAAGAGAGGGAGTCTGAAGACTTAAAGAAAAAAATTGAATACAGTGTTGTTCACGTGTCAGGGTGCAGTTTTTAACACAGTGGTTATCAGTGGTTAGCCATTAAAAGGAAAGCTTTCTCATTATAGGAAAAATTTCTTGCTGATTTCAGCATCAGAAATACAGGAAGCAGAAATGCTTTAAAATTACCTTAAAAAAACTACACTGTTTTCTGTTGTCCAGCCTTGACGCATAGCTCCAAGCACGTGCTTGTTCTTGCTCTTTTAAGAGGGTTTCTCGCTGCCAGGATGCCTACTTAGGCATTACTATTTATTTTGAAAGCTACAGGTGCTGTTCGTGTGGCTAGTTCAACTCCATACCAAAGTTTCTTTACACATAAAGCGAACTTCTCTATTCAGGCATGTAACCCTAAAATTTAGGATTAAAAAGGTCAAAGATGTATTTTGGATTTCCTGTATTTTTGTTCTACTGGCTTTTAACCAGTTACTGGATCTTTTGAAATATTGTGTACTTAAAGTGATTCCACATTAAATATGAAGCTGTGACCATGATTTTTGCACTGTGTGTGGTGTGGAGTGAATTTGCAGTTTGTTTCTGGTTTTCCTGCCTGTTTTAATGGGCTGTTTTCTGTGACTTCAGACTCTTGTTAATCCAAGAAGAATGGAAAAACAAGGTTTTAAGGAGCGCAGCGTTAGCTTTGACTTTAAATACTACACTGTTAGAAAGACAAAACGGAGGCTGAGTAATCAATTTACGAACTAATTTTCATTTTATTATCCTGTGTTTTGGTGAAGATAGCAGTTTACTAATTAAGCACTGTTTGCCTTTTTTATTCAGCGTGTTCAGTCACAAAATCCCAGACACCACAGTCATCATCCACAGAAGGGAAACCCGCACAGCAAGAATTGTCGCCTCGGTGCTCACCTTGGGCGAACAGCTTGTGAAAATGTGAGCTGCTCTGTTTCGAAGCTTTTTCAAGCTCTGCCTAGTTTTCCCAAGTGTGTCCTGTCTGTGGGCAGTGCGGCTTCGTGTGGATTCCTCTGTAGAGGCATCGCTAGAAATTGAAAGTCTGTTGGACACAGTCCATCAACTTCTTGCCCTGTTATGAAATCGTAGATGAACGGTTCATCTTAACAGAGCTGCTGCATGGGATGGGTTCCTTTGCTGCTTCCATTTTTAGAGCTGTCTCACTGCTCAGAAGTGATTTCATAGTGCTTAGAGCTGTTGTACCAAGCGAGTTTCTGAGAGTCGAAATCAACTTTAAATATTCCTACAGCAATTTGTATGCATATTTAACATTCTTGTTGCTGGGTTAATATCTGTTGATGGTTAACTCTGTTCAGTGTTCACACAATGCCCAATTCATTGCTTTATTAAACAATTAAGACTTGTTTGGACTACCCAAATGGATTTTAATAACATAGCATTAGTGGGGGGGTGGGAGGGAGAAGTAGTTGGCACAATTTGCATTGTTTTTTCCACCTACACCGTAGGTTTAGAGAGTGCAGTGATGGATCAAAACACTTCTGTTTTCCTTCAGTTTCTTGGGTTTTTTTTCCTCTGAAGGCTATAAGCCAAAGAGCTTTCTAGCCACAAAGTCTGTCACATTAAATTTCTCCTGAGAGATTCTTTTATAAATCTTCTCAAGCGTTCTTTTTTCCTTCAATGTGGTATTTCTCAGCCTCTTTAAAATGAAACAGACATCTCGTCTTTTGGTGGGGAGGGAACCAAGGAGTGTCATCTGCAGAGTTACCACAGTGGTTTTGGTTTACATCCAGATAAAAATCAGGCTTCATTCTGTAAATACCCGTTAACTTTGTATTCTCCCATCTTGCTCCACCTTCTCATTTGGATTATGAAAATGTGCACATGTATTCCTAGTACTGAAAGAAGTTTGCTGCGGTTTAGTGAACTGCTTTCTGGTGTTTCACAGTTGGCAGTTTAAGAAATGCTGCCCTAACAATACGCAGCAAGTGATAAGTTCCTAAGAGGGTAAAGGTCTTGGTTTTTTCTCATGGGTACACACTTGGCAGCTGTTGCTGGGGATGTTTGTCCTGCACAGTGCACGATTCCCTGCTTCGTGGAGCCCTAACATATCTGCATTAGCAAGGGTCATCATTAGGGGTCGTCTTCTTCAATATGTGTGTTTGCTTGAACTGTTTTGCAAAGCCAGGCCCATTAATATTTATCCTGAAGCCAGAGATTCATTTATGGTGGGGTAGGTTGAAGCTTATCGGATTTTAGAGGTTCAGCACATCTACAGTACATCAATCCTGTTTCAGGATTCTTAAATCCAAAGAAACGAGGCATCAGAAAACCTCTATGGACTTCCAAAGTTTTCTGTATGAAGAATTCTGTGATTGCAGAACGGAATAGCTGACCAAGAGAAAATTAATCACTTTTTCTGCAGTTTAACATTAACGGGGAGAGAAAAAACCCCTTCTACAGGGGAATCACAAACCTTGCTCCTTATGTAAGCTGTTTTCTTTCCTCTTCCGCATGCTGCATCGTGTTTGCGTTAATTGCACGCATATATTATTAGGAGGTTCTGTCCAGAATATGTAAGATAGCCCTATCACAGACCTAACCTGCCATGCATCGAAATTTGCCAGTAGTCTGCTGGCTGTAAGTTAAATGTTTTCTTCCTCAGGCAGTAAGCTGGGCTGCAAGGCCAACGGTGCGAGTCAGGCCAATATGGGAGGGGTGAAGGCGCCTGAATACAGGGGCTTATTGTCGATTTACGTGCTCCGGGCAGGTGTGCTGCTCCCAAAGGGGACGGGTTTTGCAGAGGTCCAGGCCGATAGCTGCCAGCCCCACATGGATACCTCCTGGGGACGTCTGGAATGGCATTGTTCGGGTGACCACTGCGTATTTACACACCTGAGAGGTGCAGGTGCTTCTCGCTTCTCTGCCAGTTTATTCAAGAAGGAGGGATAATGGTGAAAGAAGCATTGTGGTGTCAGCATTGGAGCGTGCTTGTAATAATTAAATGCCATCTCAATTTCTCCCAGTAACTTCAGTATTTTTTTCAGTGTGTTTTGTAGGTGGGGAGGGAATAGAATAGAATTAGAATATTTTGGTTGGGAGGGACCTACAGTGATCATCTGGTCCAACTGCCTGACCACTTCAGGGCTGACCAGAAGTTCAAGCATGTTACTAAAGGCACTGCCCAAATGCCTCCTAAGCACCGACAGGCCTGGGGCATCAGTCACCTCTCTTGGAAGCCCTTTCCAGCATTTGATCACCCTCTCAGTAAAGAAGTGCTGTCTAATGTCCAGTCTGATCCTCTCCTGGCGCAGCTCTGAGCCATTCCAATGCATCCTGTCACTGGATCCAAGGGAGAAGAGACCAGCACCTCCCTCCCCAGGAAGCTGCAGAGGGCAATGAGGTCGTCCCTCGGCCTCCTCTTCTCCAAACTAGACAAGCCCAGAGCCCTCAGCC